TTACATATAATAGCTCTATATGTTCATTCTTTTAGTTTATTTTTTCGATGTGCTTGACATTTTTGGGTGATGTTTACATGGCATCAAACTTAAGAAATYGTCACAARAGCAAAATTAGTCGGCGACTTCCGTTCTTCTAATTAACTGCCTTTATACGATTACTGGGGGTGGGATTCTGGGAATTGGTTATTTCTGAATGCTCGTACCGTGGCCTTGCTCGCAAACACGTTTTCTAATTACTCTTGGGCGGAGCATAAGAACAGATTTATTTCTCCCAGGAACCAGCTGGTCCCTCCWAAATGTTTACACAGCTTCTTGTGCTTGTTTTAGCTTATTTCGAAACTTTTCCTTTTGCAGAAAGATTATGAATAATGTATACAAGTTTTACGAAATTTGCAGTCGACATTCAGTGATGTACAATGTATTGATTTTCATTTAGTGTGGTAAATATTCGCCCTTCTTCATAGAATGGAAAAAACACGCGTTCTGAAAGCGGAAGTACATGAAAAGAAGTATCCAACCCTTCAATAACTGTAAGGTGTTCTTATCATATCAAGCAATTGTCTGACATTTGCACGGGCTACCTGTGCTTTTTGTGGGATTCCTTATTTTCAAGGATGGCAGGGGATTAGGACAAAATTATAATGACCGACATGTTGAAAAGCGATTTCTCTGCAAATTCTGTTTTCGCCATTTTAAAGCACTAAAAGGGGGGAAAAACTTGAAAAAAACTTTCTAACGTACTTCCTTGGTTAAGACTACCACATATGCTCATCAAAAGTTTGGCAAACGAATAAATTTTTCAATTGTTTTATGTTTTAGGCAGCCAATCACAGCACGCGCAAATATAACACGGCACCCGATTGGTTAAAAAAAATTTACGTAGTACTTCCGTCAAGCTCGTAAAACATCTCAATGTCATGAACAATAAATTGATAGGTGTCTGCCATAATCTTGCATGAAAACTTGATTTAGGCTTTGATGCAGAGATTATGCATTAATAGCGCTAATATTATCTTGATAAAATAAAATAAACCATCAAAATGACGGTCTGCAATGGAGGAAAAGGTCCTGCCATGTCAACTTCTGGCTACTAGTAATTTGACTTGTTTAGCTTGAGACTTGACTCCCTGTTTACAAAGCACTTCCGTCAATCTCGTAAAACACCTCAATGTCATGAACAAAGAATTGATAGGTGTCTGCCATAAAGTTGCATATCTTCCCAGTTGTGCATCCTGGCGGTGTTTCATATGAAATTGCAAAGGCAAGTGAACATGCTCTAGTCGAGGCTTCGTTGCAGATATAAAGGTCGTACCCGCGTCGACCAAATGAGGGTCCCCAATTGGCATTTCCAAACATGGCTTCCGGTTTTATGGTTATGTTCAATTTCACTGGGTGGAAACCATGAAGGTTGTTGTACAAGGAAAACAGGAATGAGACATCGGAACTGTATTGTCCATTTGCTGTGTTTGGAAATATAGAACCATTTTAGTACATGCAGTCCGTCAAAGTCATCTAGATTGGACTTCATAAAATCGTGAAATACAATGTAGCGTAATTCACTAAATACTTGTTTTTATTTGGCTCGTTTATTTTCATTGCCTTTTCGTTGTGTTGTGTATGATTATATAATGTGTTATATAATATCTGTGAATTTACGCGTCGGGTCCCATGAGACCAAGAATACTATTT